TATATCTTTCTTACCAGTTTGAACATCAACAGCGGCTAACTTTACAATTGGCTGAAATGTCACGGATGGTTCATAGGACTCGTCGGGATCACCACCAGTATCATCATTCTCATCAGCCGGAGGAGCATTATCACTCTTTTTTGGTGTTGAACCGAATACTGGAGTGCCTTGCCCAGGAAACACTAGAAAATGGAGAAAACATACATTTAAGCTTAATATAAAAGCAATATATGTTCTCTTGATGTCACTAATCATCCTACATCCAGCCATAATATACGGCAGCTTCTGACGTGTAAGTTAGACTATCGAGGCGGCGTTCATCTTTAGTCTAGTCAAAAATGAGGATGATTTTTTCCTGATATGACGTATAAGCGCTATAATTAATGCTCGGCGAGTTAATATTCTAAGACAGTATCCCAGTAAAGATTAGCCACAGAATAAAAGCTCTCATCATAAAACAAACTATTTATAAACTACAGTATTACCTCGATCATTTCCATTTGTCGAGTCATTATTATTTGGTGATTGTTTGGCTAATTCAGCAAAACTAAATGCTGCTGGCGGCTGAAATAATGGTTTATTAAAATTTGATGAACTTGTTCCAAATTGAAAACCTGGAAATCCATTGTTGTTCGATCCAGTGGCTGTGCTAGTTAGTGGTGAGGGTGTTGTAGTTGTACTATTTCCGAAACCCGAAAAATGAAATCCGCTATCTGAGTTTTTAATTTCAGATGTATTTCCAAATATCGACTTGCTACCAAAACCATTTATTGATGCATTTTCAAAGATCGATGGTTTATTTGCATAATTGTCAGTTGAAAAGAAGGGTTTTAGTTTCTCTTCTTTCGTTGCAATACTAGATAATAATGGCTGAGATTTATCTTCGACGGTAATGGTCGATAACGATGAAGATAAATTTTCTTCAAATATCGGTTGTTTGGCACCGGGAGGACTTATGGGTATCTTTACTGTCGAGGATTGTGCTGAAAAGAGTACGATAATCATTGCAATATTCAAATGACAAGTTAAGTTAAGTTAATAAAAGTAGCTTTCTCCCCGTACAATTTGACTGAGAAATGACTAATTTTTTGCATGAAAAAGTAACAAAATCATTTAAACTATTCCAGCATGTTCTTTAACGTTTTTTGTAAGTAGAATAAAAAAAAACTTTGTTAAAATTTGTACTTAATAATCTAGTCGTAAAAATCTACTGAGATCTATCTCCTCTGGCAAACACACGAAGTCAATACCGTTTTTATCATGTTGTGTGAATGCATGATCATCATGATTTTTCTTCCCAGACAAATCTAAAACAATAAAATTTAACCATTAGTATAAACATATTCTACAACGTTGTCATGAACAAAAAAAACTATAGCAGCAACTCAAAAAACTGCATCTATTGTCTTATAAATATTGTTTACTATCGTAAATACATTAACGAATACGAAATTAGTTAAACAAGAAGAATTACTATGAATTGTGTTCATCGCAACGTTACAAGTTAAAATCCTCGACTTTTTTTAATAGGATGAGATATCTGCTCTTGCTGCCATTATTGGTTTATCAGCTAATCTATCACTAGGGTAAAAACATAACGCCAATGGCAGTGCTGATACGCGATCTATTGATAATGAACGTTTTGCTTTAACAATAATTCGATATTGATTAAAATAATCATAAGCATCGGAAAAGGATGATTCGGGCATCGGTAGTAATGATATTAGGCAAGAAGGATGACTGTTACAAGGGAAATCTACAGCGAAATGTTTGTTCATTTCAAACGTAATATCAACCAATTGCCTTATTCAGACCTACTTGAGGGCACCCCAGCATTCTCAACAACAACAGCAGAAAATTGCCCATCAATGTCCACATGGCCCGCAGTCGATACTAAAAAAAGTTATAATGTTTTTTTCCAAGAAAAAATTAGCTGCTACAGTTTCAACCGTAACGGCGCTGGAACGATGAACATACTTTCCGACGGTGTTTTTGTTTGACAACCAACACAACCTGTACATGATGATTCCCGATCTTCATACAAGAAAAAAGTTGAAGGTAATTTTAACTCTTCTGCACGATCCATTTGTTCTTTTGTGGGTAATTTTTCGCCAACAAATATTATGTCTGAAAGATATAAAGAAGTTATCAAACATGAAAATATGCTACATTAACCTGTCCGCTTTGACAAGAATCTGAAACGGATTCACAATACATAATTCACATCTAATTGCATCTTCTCCCTTATTCAGATTTTCAAAAAGAAAACTAACCATCATCTTCGACAACTGCTTCTATTTGCTGTTTAGGTTCTGATGCTGGTTTAATTGTCGTCGATGGTTTCTCCTGTTGTTTCTGGCCACTTATAGCTGGTTTCGTTTCATTTTGTACGGTTGGTTCAGCTGATTTGCTTGATTTCTGATCATTCGATGATTCTTTTTTCTTATTAATTTCTTCATTCATTTTTTTAGCATCATTAAATGCGCTCTCAAATTGTTTTGCTTGTGTAGATGTTTTAAACTTGACACACAATGTTTCTTGTTTAGCGCTATTATCAGCGTAATCTAAACAATTCCATACATATGCATTA